ACAACTGAGTCAAAATGGTTGTGGCATTCACGTTATGGACATTTGAATTTCAAGGATTTGTCCAGGTTAAGTCAAAATACTATGGTTAAAGACTTACCACCAATCAAAGTGTCTGAAAGCGTGTGCAAGGAGTGTATCGAGTGCAAGCAAACCAGAAACAGTTTCCAGAAAATAATATCATGTAAGTCTGTAGCAAAGCTTGAAATCATTCACATTGATGTATGTGGACCCATGCAGATTGATACACCAGGTGGCAGCAGATATTTCGTTCTCTTTACAGATGACTGGACAAGGAAGACTTAGATCTATTTGCTGAGTCACAAATCTGAAGTGTTGGAAATCTTTAAAAGGCTCAAGAGCATGGTGAAAAGGTAGTGTGATCAGAAAATCAAGAAGGTGAAATATGATGGTGGAGGTGAATATACCTCCAATGAATTCAAGTGATATTGTGAAGAAATGGGTATAGTGTAGGAGATCTCACCATCATATACATCAGGGCATAATGGTACAGCAGAAAGAAAGAATTGAACTGTGTTGAGTATGGTGTGGTGCATGTTAAAAGGCAAGAAATTACCAAATTTTTGGTGGGGTGAAGCCATTGTTACAACCACGTACATTCTGAACCTAACACCTACAAAGAGGCTGAAGTTCATGACTCCAAAAGAAGCTTGGTCGAGTGAGAAACCCAATGTTAGTCATTTGCGCGTATTTGGATCAGTCTGTTACAAGCACGTTCCAAATCAATTGAGAAGAAAATTGGATGACAAGGGAGTACCATTGATTTTGGTTGGCTATCATCCAACTAGTGGCTACAAACTATTTGAACCAGAAACAAGTCAAGTAATGGTTAGTAGGGATGCGATGATTGATGAAGACTGGCTAGAATTGGGAGAAGAAAGAAACAGAGAAACCAATGATAACACTAGAAGATAATACTACAGAAACGAAAGATGAAAATGATCACAGTCATATTGATAATCCAATTACAGTGGTGCGGAAATCCTCCAAAGTGTCACAGTAACCTTCACATTTGAGAGATTATGACCTATCCTTCGACAGTACAATCACTGATGAAGGTAACTTTGTTCATTATGCCTTAATAGCTGAGTCAAAACCTGTAGAGTTTGAATAGGCAACAGGTGATGAAAAATGGCAAAGAGCAATGCAGGAAGAGATAGAATCCATCGAGAAAAATAAAACCTGGGAGTTGTGTGAGTTGCCTGACAATAAAAGACTAATAACATTGAAGTGGGTTTATAAAGTCAAGATAAATCCACAACGAATTGTAGTGAGGCATAAGGCAAGGTTAGTGGTAAAAGCATTCTTGCAAAGAGAGGGAATTGATTTTGGAGAAGTTTATACTCCAGTTGCACGAACAGAAACTATTAGATTGGTTGTTTTGTTGGTTGTTCATCATCACTGGCTATTATATGAACTTGATGTAAAAGCTGCTTTTCTAAATGGGAAGTTGGAGGAAGAAGTGTATGTGTCTCAGCCGCAAGGATTTGTGAAAGAAGATGCACCAAATTACGTGTATAGATTGAAGAAAGCATTGTATGGGTTGAGACAGGCTCCATGTGCATGGAACCAAAGAATTGATACATTCATGAGTCAAGTTGGGTTTGAAAAATGTATCTCTAAGCATGACATGTATTTGCAGAATCAAATTATTGAAGGAAAAACAGAAGAAATAATCATATGCTTATATGTAGATGACCTTTTGGTCACAAGAAGCTGTGAGAAACTCATTTCCAAGTTCAAGATGCAAATGTTAACTAAATTTGGGATGAGTGATTTGAGAAAACTAAATTACTTTATTGGATTCGAGTTCATTGAGCGAGAAGATGGAATGTTGATGCATCAATCACGATATGCATTGAATATGTTACCCAAATTTGAGATGGACAGGAGTAATTTTGCAAGTACTCCATTAGAAGTAGGTTTAAAGCTTGAAAGGGAACATGAAGAAGAAGTGGTAGATCCAACAATGTATAGGAACATGGTGGGTAGTTTGAGATACTTGTGTAATACACGACTAGACATGAGTTTTAGTGTTGACCTGGTTAGTCGTTTCATGCAGAATCCAAGAACCTCTCACATGAATGCAATGAAGCGAGTATTGCTATATGTGCGAGGAATATTTGACTGTGGTATTCTGTTGCCTAAGAAGCAAAATGAGAAGTTAAGTTTGACAGCATATTCTGATGCAGACTGGTGTGGTGACAAATTTGATAGAAGAAGTACCGCAGGGTATATCTTTTTCTTGGAGGAAGCACCAATATCATGGAGTTCGAAGAAAAAAACAATTGTAGCTCTATCCTCTTGTGAGGCAGAGTACGTAGCAGCATGTGAAGCATCATGTCAGGCTGCATGGTTGAACTCTCTTATGAAAGAATTGGGGGTTGAATCGAGAAGAAGAGTCAGATTACTAGTAGACAACAAATTTGTCATTAATTTGGCTCATCATCCAGTAGTACACTGGGAGAAGTAAACATATTGAAACTAAGTTTCATTATATAAGAGAGCAAGTCAACAATAATAGCTTGGAAGTAAAACATTGTTATTCAGACAAGCAATTAATAGATATGTTCACGAAACCTCTAAAGCATGAATGGTTTGTGCAGATTAGGAAGTCATAAGTATTAGAGTATTTGGCTTAGGGAGGAATGCTGGCATTTTGTAGTTAAGCCAAATATGATTTCATGCAGTATTATTAGAAAGCGTTTGTTTTTTACAGTTTTTTTCAGTTACTTCTTTTAGATATTTCTCTCTCCTCATCTCTCTTATAAAATTTATTACTATTGCATTTTCTTTAATAAGAGAAATAAGTATTAGGCGTCCTATCTTCTGCGTTTAGTTTTCCTTATATTTTATTAATTAAAAACCAGTACAAAATATACAATATTCTTTAATTATTTAAAACCTACTAGAGTTTTAAAAATCATGAAAAATACTTCCAAATAACCCTTCTTTTTTATTAAACATTTTGTTAGAGTGACAAACTTTGATTTGACATATCTAACATAAGTGAAATATAACTAACATATCTTGATATTTCGCACATATCTTTTTATACATTATTAATATTAATCAACAATCAACTTCATGCCATTCAAAAAATACAATAAAATTATTCTCACGCTCTAGTTTATCTAGATGTTAATGAATTTCCTTACCTCAATTTCACACTCTTTAATTCAAGTATTAATAAAAAATTCTAATTAATAAAATAAGCATATCATAATATTTATAAGTTAATCAATATTTATCTTTATCCTGATGCAAAATTCATAAATATGCAAATCTTAGTTTTAACTTGTAAAAATATTCTAAAATTAGATAAGAAAAACTTATGTTATTTAAAATTTTTTAGGATTAAATTTTTCTTCTTAAAAGTAAAATAATGTATTTAAATATAAAAAAATATAACTAAGAGTTTTTTAAAGAAAAGTCAAAAAATTTAAAAAATTTAAAAAATAATTATTATTCATATTGAAATGTAACTTTTTTTATTTAAATTATTTTTAAAAAGATAAAGATTTCAAACTTTACTTTATTCAATTACCAATTTTCTTAATCTACTAAAATACCGTCAAACAAATTATGCTAACCTATAAATTAATTAAAAAGTTAAACTTCAATATATAAAAAATGTGATAAATATATTAACGGTTAAAATTTTCTACAGATAATCAGAAAAATAAATTAAGTCGAATAAGCATTATAATTCAAATTAAATTTATCTAATCCGCTTAGTCGTGATTTAAATGGATTTAGTTGAAGTTTAATTACAAGTTCATAAATTGGTTCATTTTATTAAATTAATATTGTTTTAAATAAAAGTAATTTTATTTTAATATATATATATATATATATATATATGTATATATTAAATTATCATATTTAAAATTAAAATTATTTTTATTAATATAATTTTATATATATATATATATAATTTTTTTTTCATTTTAATTAGTTTATAAATTTTATTAGTCTGAGACTCGATCATAATTTAAAATATAATACATTTAAATTATGGGTCAGATTTTAAAAATATTTTGATATGATTTGCCATACTAAATTATGTATTTAAAAATACTATTCAATAGAAATTTAAATAATATAAAATAAATTACATAAGAGTAAGAACAAAAAGTCAGTCTTTGAGTTTTGTTTTTACTCATTTCATTTATTTTTGTATGTCAGTCTTTGAGAAAGTATGAAAAGTTTAATGTTTTTGGAATCTTGTTTCATTTTTCTCCATTTCCTTTTCAATGATGACCTAATTTTCTAACCCACAAAATGTGCAGGACTAGATTAAGTCTTTGTATAAAATGGAAAGACTAACAATTTAAAGTCTTTATAGGTTATTTGTTTCATATTTATTGCTTAGTATGTTAAATTTTTATACATATTTATTACTTCCAGAGGATCCCAAATATTTTCTTCCAAATAAACATTATATGTGTTTTTTAATTCAATTCCTTTCTTTTTAATTCAAATTAAAATAGACAAAATCATAATTGTTTTCAAGCAATATGATAATGAATTTTTTAAAGAGAGTCTTCAAAATTGATTTCAATATTAGTTTCAAAGTAAATTCTTGGCTTTCAGTTGAAGAATAATATTAAAAAAAACATTAAAAGTGATGTATGAAGTTAGTTTATAGTAGTAATTATTGTGGTTAAAAAAAATTATTTATTTATTTAAATATATGATTTTAATTTATTTATTTCATATATTTAAAAATTTATACCAAGACTTTTAAAATGAAAACTTATGATAGACCATAAATTATGTTACTGTGAATTTGATTTTATAAATTTAATGAAAATGAAGAAAAAACAAAGGCACTGCAGCCGTATAAGTATAAATATTAGAAAGAAGTTTTATATGCATTACCAAGAAGCACTTTTTGTTTCCTATCAAGAGCTTTTGTGATGATGAATTCCTCCATTTCCATTATTCTGTTTCTTCATCTTTGGTTATTAACGTTACGTATGGTTGCATGCAGAGAGATATTATGCATTGAAAGTGAGGGAGAGACACTGTTGAAGTTGAAGCGTCATCTCAAAGATCCTTCAAATAGGCTCTCTTCTTGGAATGCATCTGCCATTTCCCGTTGTTGCCACTGGTCCGGTGTTCTCTGCAGCAACATCACTGCCCATGTTTCAGAGCTTCACCTCAATACTTCATATGTTAATTTTGATGGTGATTATGAAGCTTATACTAGATCTCAATTTGGTGGAGAGATAAATCCTTGTTTGGTTGATTTGAAGCATTTGAATTACTTGGACTTGAGCGGCAATGATTTTGAAAGTATGCCAATTCCTTCTTTCCTTGCATCAATGACTTCCTTGACTCATCTCAACCTTTCTTATGCTGGATTCATGGGCAACATTCCTCCTCAGATTGGGAATCTCTCCAATTTGCTCTATCTTGACCTCAGTAGTAATTATCTGCTCTCCGGAAATGTTGACTGGCTATCAAGACTTTCAAAGCTTCGATGAGCAACAATGAACTCGGAGCAGGTACGCCCATTCCTACTTTCATTGGGACATTGACCTCCTTAATTCACATGGACCTCTCTTGGACTGGATTCATGGGGTCGATTCCTCCTCAACTTGGGAATCTCTCCAACTTGGTGTATCTTGATCTGAGTAATTATTATTACAAAGAAAAAGCTTTATTTACTGAAAATGTTGATTGGCTATCAAGTCTTTCAAAGCTTGAATATCTTGACTTGAGAGGTAGAAATCTATCCCGATCATTTAATTTCTTTCACATTCTCCAAACTCTTCCTTCTTTGATGCACCTTCATTTGTCACGATGCACACTCCCTCTCTATAATCAACCATCCTTGCTTAACTCCTCGTCTCTCCTCACTCTTGATTTAAGTTATAACTTATTCAAAGGTTCCATTCCTGATGGTATTCGAAACCTCACACTTCTTGAAAATCTTGATTTGTCTGGAAATTCATTCTCATCTTCTATACCAGATTGGTTTTACGGTAGTTTTCGTCATCTCACGTATTTGGACCTATCATATAACAACTTACAGGGGACTATTTCTGATGCCTTGGGAAATATGACTTCTCTGGTTACACTTCATTTGTCAGGCAATCAATTTGATGGACCAATTCCTACTTCTTTTGGTAATTTGTGCAACTTAAGGGAGATATATTTCTCAAATCTCAAACTCAACCAAACGGTAAATGAAATTTTAGAAATTCTTGCTCCTTGTATTTCCCATGGACTCACAACACTTCAAGTTCAAAATTCTCAACTTTCAGGCAATCTGACAAATAAACTTGGAGATTTTAAAAATGTTGTCAGACTAGATTTTATTGGCAACAAAATTGGTGGCGACCTTCCAAGATCACTGGCAAAACTTTTATCATTGAGATCTCTTGAACTGTCCGAAAATCAATTTAGCGGAAATCCATTTGAAAGTCTTGGATCACTCTCTAAATTGTCAAAGCTTTACATTGATCACAATCGTTTTCAAGGAGTCGTCAAGGAAGATCATTTCGCAAATCTTACCCGCTTGGAGTCGTTTCATGCATCAGGGAACAATTTGACTTTAAAAGTGGGTCCCAGTTGGCATCCTACTTTTCAGCTTTACGATTTGGATATGAGCTCCTGGCAGTTAGGTCCCAACTTTCCATCATGGATTCACTCACAAAACAAACTTCATTCTATATCAATGTCCAACACAGGGATTTCAGATTCTATTCCCAGCTGGTTTTGGAAAACATTTTCTCAAGCTGAGTATCTAAACCTCTCTTATAATCATATCCATGGTGAGCTTTGGACTACATTAACGAATCCAATATCAATCAATGTTGTCGATCTTAGTGCAAATAACTTAAATGGAAAATTGCCCTCTCTTTCAAATGTTGTGGGTTCGTTAGATCTTTCCAACAATTTATTCTCCAAATCCATGGCTGATTTTTTGTGTCAAAATCAGGACAAGCCAATGGGATTGGGATTTCTGTATCTTGCTTCAAATAATTTATCAGGAGAAATACCTGATTGTTGGATGCATTGGCCAGATCTAGTGGAAGTAAATTTACAAAGCAACAATTTTGTTGGGAACTTACCCTCCTCCATGGGTTCGTTGGCAGAGCTACAGTCTTTACACATCCGTAACAACTCCCTCTCGGGACCCTTTCCTACCATTTTGAAGAAGACAACTAAACTGATTTTCTTGGATCTCGGAGAAAATAAATTTTCAGGAAGAATTCCATCTTGGATTGGAGAAAGTGCTTCAAATATGAAAGTTCTTATCCTTCGATCAAATCAATTTTTTGGTCATATTCCTACTACAATATGTGATATGCGTCGTCTTCAGATTTTAGACCTTGCACAAAACAATTTGTCTGGAAATATTCCAACTTGTTTCAATCGCTTGAATGTCATGACTTTGACGAACAAAAGTTCAAATCCTCGTATCTATTGTGAGCCAGCAAACAACACATTTCTAGATTCGCCAGTTAGTGTAGTTAGTGTGCTCCTTTGGCTGAAAGGAAGAGGAGATGAGTACAGAAGTATACTGGGATTGGTGACAAGCATTGATCTATCAAATAACCAATTAGTAGGAGAAATACCAAGAGAAATCACAGATTTAAATGGATTGACATATTTGAACTTATCCCACAACCAACTAATTGGTCATATTCCAGGAAGCATTGGTAATATGCAATCATTATTGTCCATCGATTTCTCAAGGAATCAACTTTGTGGTGAAATCCCTCTTACCATTTCAAATCTGAGCTTGCTGAGCATGCTAGACTTATCATATAATAATTTGAGGGGAAAAATTCCAACAGGAACTCAACTGCAAACCTTTGATGCCTCCAACTTCATTGGCAACGACCTCTGCGGCCCACCACTGGCCATCAATTGCAGCTCCAATAATGGAATTGATAGTTATGATGCCAATGGCAAAGGGAGTGACAGGCATGGAGTGGAGTGGTTTTTTGTTAGCATGACATTTGGATTTGTGGTGGGATTTTGGATGGTGATTGGTCCTTTGCTCATTTGTAGATCTTGGCGCTATGCCTATTTTCATTTCTTTGATCATGTGTGGTTCAAACTTCAATCTTTCTTCTTCTGATGCAATTTTTTTATTTAATGTAGTGAAAAATAAAATTACTATGAAAGTTAATTTGATTTAGCTTGTATTTCTTGGTTGATCTTGTTTGATTTCTTCAGATATGGCAATGAATTATTAAACTTTTAAATTTATAAAAGTTAGCACTTCATCTATGCATACAAGTGTATAAGTTTAAAAGTCTCTAAACAATTTAAATGATTTTTAAACTTTTGAATTTATAAAATTTTGCAATAGGAAAATTTCCATTAATAATTAACCACCTCAATATCCTCCTGACCCTTTTCTGCCTCGGGAAAGGAAAAGTGAAGATCAAAATGGCGAACTGCAGGACTCCAAAAGAAATCAAATGAAAATTTGAGGAAGTAATTAAAATTAAATAAAACATGTAAGCATGTATTCTTTAGTTATGTCAATTTACATAAACTATTAATCTTAATTGAAATCTTAAATACATTCATAATAAACATTTCAGAAATTTTCTCTTCATTTGACTCTAATTTATGCGTAAACTCAATATTTTATTTTCCCATTAAATTTACTTGCTATCAAACCATTTAAATGATTATACATTAGATACAAGAGGCATGAATATACAAATTTAAAGATAATATTTATTTTGATGACAATATAAATCTTATCATTGAATCAAACATAAAAATTATCTTCTCTAACATTATTATTATTATTATTAAAGTTCTAAGATAAAATCAATTAATATTATATAAAATAATCTAACAAAAGGAATAATAAAGTTGCAATATAACAAACAAGATTAAACAAAATTATAAACATGAATAAGAACAATAAGCACAACCAAAGATCACAAGTACGAACAGAATTAAAAAAAATAGAAAACCACAAAACAATAATAGGAACCTTGAATGAAAAATAACCACCCTGCACCGCTATACCTATTTAAATCGAACTCAATTTCATTGAGCCAACATCAAAGATGAAAAATGAAACAAAACCTACTTTTATATTACAACATATACGTTGCTATTCAATGAATTTCATTCCTAATACTAGCTAAGAACAATCTCAGCTCCTTGGCTTTCTGCTTGTATTCAGCGGACATGTCATTTTCTGAATCACTCAAATTAATCACTTCGACATTTTGGTCATTTGATTCCTCACATTTTGAAGAAAAATTGAATTTCTTAGGTGGGGAAGGGCTCAGAAGATCTATGATCTCATTTTTATCTGTAGTGGAAACCGCCTTATTGCTGCTATATATGTTGCTGGTATTCTGAATCGATTTAGTATGTTCTATGTCATGTGATGGATGCAACAAGTCTTCGGTATTCACATCAGCTTCAGCCATAGAATTTGTAATTCTTGATACCCTTTCTGAAGAATCAGAGACATTGAAGTTGGCTTGCTCTCTCAATTTATCACCAAGCAACAAATTCTGAAGTTGTAGATCAAGCTCGGCCACAGATGAATTAGTTTCCTTTTTCTTTGGTCTTCTTTTCTGATTGTTTTGTTTCTTCCGTTGAGCTTTTCTTTCCTCAAACTCCAAAATCTTCTCATTGCAGGCACTGTAGATGATTAATAATGAAACAATAATGAGGACACCCTAAACAAAAGGTTGTCTTATATACACACCAGCCTAGTTGAATTTGAATCATTCAAAAAGATACTAGGTATAGATGCAGCAATAAACTATGAACATAATAGCTCAAGTTGCAAGCAAAAACAAACAAAATATAACTTTGATAACAATCAAATAAAACATTTCCTTTCTGTGTTTTAGGGAATAAAGCAAGTTCATCAATTATGTGATTTACATTACCTTTGTATAAGATCTGCAGGTACTATTGAAGTTTCAAGTCCATCCATTCCTTCCCAAGAAACCTCATAGCATTCCTTCCCTTCAACTCTTCGGCTCTTAATGATTTCTGAAACAGGACACTTTACAGGGATCTGTGGTCGGATATAATATACATTAGATTCATAGATCTACATATCCTGGTTCATAAAAAGGGAGCCTGGAGACACAATTTATGTATACTATTAATTCTAGAAACGCGATGAATAGCACATTTCCCTGTTTATTGATGACACGCTGAATGAATCAATGATCGTTGCTACAATAACAAAATAGAAAATCTGTTGTATCCTTACATTACTATTGAAAGGGCTGTTTTGATCTTTAATACTGAACAAGTGAAAGGGAACATCAGTTATCCAAATGCCAAGTAATTCTAAGCAAGAGCAGACATTCTTTTAGTTTAAAATTTAGAACCTTTCACGTGAGCTTGGATAGTAATGAAATATTAATTAGGTAGTGGAAAGGGTTAGCAGTACCTCATGTAAAGGAAGGTTCAGTCCAACTTCAGATGAAGTTAAACGCAAATTGGCAAATCTTCGTAAATCTCTTTCAGCTATACTTGGAAGGATATACCCATCTATTTAATAAAATGTCAATTAGCATGACAATAAATTAGATGTCAATGGGAGGTATGAATTGATGATCTATAAGAATAAGTTTGTCAAAGTAGATGAAGAACCTGTTTTCTCCGACGTCCACAGAAAGCATTCAGCACATATCTTCTGTAGTATAGTACGTTGAAACGGATAATGAGCAAGAGCCCTATAGAGATGAGTAAAACATTTTAAATAGCCTAACAATGTTGTACAATTTATATTCCAGATCTAATTTATCAGATTACATAAAAAAATTCAATAAGAATCACAGAAGCTTAATGGCTTGATTACTATGTTGAGATATGTTGTTTATGTATCTTTTAATATTCTTTTTCAATGTTTCTTAGACTAGGGTTAAGGGTTTGGGCTGAAGTCCATATCCTCTCTATTGTACCCCTTTTTTCTATAAATACAATACATCATTGTCTTTGATCACTGCATCAAACCCTAAATAAGTTTTCTCAAGTTGGTATCAGAGCGGGTAAGATCCCGCATTGATTTCCGGTCGCCTTTGTCAGCTCCGGTCGTTTGAACCAACGAAAGAGGGGTTTTGCTCGCCTCGAGGAATGTCACCCACCCTTGCAAGTCGCTCCTCCGTCAACTGCCCCACGCGCCAACACGCGCGGTCATCCCGGTGAACCCTCTCAGGCGCATGTGTCCCACACGCCGCCTTCCAGTGGCCGGAATCAAGGCCGACCACCTTCGTTTGACTCACCAGCGTCCTCTGAGTCCAATAGTGCCCTTAGTTTTCTGGTTTGAGAACTGTGTGTGAAAAGTCCCATGGATAACCATATTCATTGGCTTTATTCATCTTTTTTGGTTCAGATGGCCTTATCCTCTGCCTTCACCTTCCCTGCTACTCTCACCATAACTAGTGTCAAACTCAATTGGAAAAATTACTTATCTTGGTATGCTTTAGTTGAGTTGTGGTTTCTCAGTCAAGGGCATCACGACCATTGGAGAAAGATGTAGATTCTATTTCCACTACAAAAAGGTCTTAGTGGGAAAAAATGGACTTCCAACTTTGTGCAATCTTATTACAGTATGTGGAACCGGATGTTCTTGAACTTCTCAGGTCATTCAAAACTTGTTCTTTTTTTTTAGAAAAAGATTCAAGACATTTTTGTTAATGATATTCAACGACTTTTTGATGCAACTCAAAGAATGACGTCACTTAAGTAGACTAATCATGACATGATGGCTCACATCGCAAAAGCTAGAGCTGCTGTAGAAGAACTAAAAAGGTTTCTTGTTGCAAATACCTTAGAAAAGTTAAACACCAAACTCGATAAGCTATATATGGTTCTAATTTTGAGAAGTCTACATTCTAACTTTGATCACGTGCGTGATCAAATCCTAACTGACGATCATGTTCCATCAATGGATAATCTTATCACTAGGTTGTTTTGGGTTCCTAATCTCATGGTTGATGAGAATCAGGTGGAGACTGATGAAACTTCTGCTATGGTTGCCCCTCGAGGTCGAGGGGGAGGACGCAACAATCAAGGTGGACGTGATAGTTCGAAAGTTCGTCCTTAATGCACCTATTGTAAGAGGATGGGACACACGCAGGAAAATTGTTATTCCTTGCATGGCTTTCCTGATAAGACCGTCTATGCATCTAAATCGGAGAAGCCTGATATGAAGATTTCTGATGAGGAGTATCAGGAGTTTTTGAAGTTCAAATCTGGAAAGTTTAACAGTCATGGTCAATCTTCTTCAATGCCAAGTGTTTCAACTGCATGCATTTCTCAATTTGTGGATGTTAAGGTTCCAACATAAAACCATTTGGTAATATGTGGAGTAGCCTAACATGTATTTAAACCACACCAAATGACATGAGACAGGCGATGTGGAACTTTCAACACGCCCCCTCTAACGAAGCATACCGGACCAGCCAAAGGGTACTTTTGACCCACAATGAAAGAGCAACTCTTGGCCCAAGACAATAAGCGGAAAGATGTTAAGCTTTGACTTTGATACCATGTTAAGGTTCCAACATAAAACCAATTGGTAATATATGGAGTAGCCTAACATGTATTTAAACCATACCAAATGACATGAGGCAGGCGATGTGAGACTTTCAACAGTAAAAGATCAGAACCCATGGATTCTTAATTCAAGTGTCTCTGATCATATATCTGGTAATAGTTCATCGTTTTCCTTCATGTCCTATCCTAAAATTCCTCACTTAATCACTATAGTTAATGCATCCGAAGTGAAATCTCAAGGTGTTTGCCAAGTTTCTTTAACCTCATCTCTAAATTTAAATTCTGTTCTTTTCCTTCTAAATTGCCCTTATAACTTGATCTCTCTAAGTCAACTTACTCGTTCTTTGAATTGTTCTGTAACTTTCCTTCTAATTCTTTTGTTATTCAGGAACATGGTACGGGTCGTCTGATTGGAGAAGGACATGAATCACGTGGTCTGTACTATCCAAAACCAAGTCCTTCGGTGTCTTGTCTGGTTTCTCCTACCCTTAAACTCTTACATGATCGTCTGGATCACCCAAGTCTATCTGTTGAAAGTGATGACTCCTAATCTTCAACATCTTTGGGGTTTAGAGTGTGAATCTTGTCAATTAGGAAAACATGTTACGTCTACTTTTCCTAAGCAGTCTGAAACTCGATGTAATTTTCTTTATTTAAATATTCATTCTGATCTTTGGAGACCAAGTCGTGTTTCCTCTTTTGACTTTCGGTATTTTGTGACCTTTATTGATGAATTTTCTAGATGTATTTGGGTTTATTTGATGAAAGATAGATCTGAACTTTTGTCGATATTTGTGTCTTTTTTTAATGAAATTAAAAATCAATTTGGAAAGATAATTAAAGTTCTCAGAAGTGATAATGCTAAAGAATATTTCTCTGGCTCCTTTTCTTCTTTTTTATCTTCCCAAAGAATTTTACATCAATCAACTTGTTCTCACACCCCACAGCAAAATGGCATTGCATAAAGGAAAAATAGACACCTTATTGAGACTACACGCTCTCTAATGTTAAATGCTAATGTCCCTGTTCATCATTGGGGAGATGCAGTTCTCACTGCTTGTTTTTTTATTAATCGGATGTCATCTTCCTCTCTTAAAAATCAAATTCTACATTCTCTTATCTTCCCAGATGATCCTCTTTTTCATGTATCTCCTCGTGTATTTGGTTGTACTTGTTTTGTTCACAATGTATCTCCAGGTCTTGATAAACTAAGTGTTATAAGGCCATTAAATGTGTTTTCTTGGGGTACTCTCGCCTCCAGAAGGATATAAATGTTATTGTTGAATATAGAGAAAATAGGGTTTGGGATTAATCTCCCTTATGTATAACCCACACATAGGGTAATCTATTTATAGTAGAGAAAAATATAATTAAAAGAGTAACAAAAAAATAATTAGACTAAATAGAAGATATTGTTTGATATTGTGATTAACAATATCTAACACTCCTCCTCAAGCTGGAGCATATAAATCATTTGTGGTTGTACTTGTTTTGTTCACAATGTATCTCCAGGTCTTGATAAACTAAGTACTAAGGTCATTAAATGTATTTTCTTGGAGTACTCTCGCCTCCGGAAAGAGTATAAATGTTATTGTTGAATATAGAGAAAATAAGGTTTGAGATTAATCTCCCTTATGTATAAACCACACATAGGATAATCTATTTATAGTAGAGAAATGTATCACTAAAAGAGTAACAAAAAAATAATTAGAGTAAATAGAAGATATTGTTTGATATTGTGATTAACAATATCTAACACTCCTTCTCAAGCTGGAGCATAAAAATCATATGTGTCAAGCTTGTTACAAATATAATCAATTCTAAACCCCATAAAGACTTAGTAAAAATATTTGCTAATTGATCACTTGAGTTAACAAATTCAGTCTTGATGTCTCCAGACATAATCTTTTCCCAAATGAAAATGACAATAAATCTCAATGTGTTTGGTCTTCTCATGAAAGACAAGATTAGAGCTAATATGAAGAGCAGCCCGATTGTCACACACAAGTGTCATTTGAGTGGCATCTTCAAATTGTAACTCTCTAAGCAATTGCTTGAGCCAAATAAGTTCACATATAACTAAAGTCATAGCTTTATATTATGTTTTTGCATTGGTGATAAGTGTCAAAAAGTATTAAATTTTCATATGGAATGATGGCACTATTGTTTCAAATTGTGTATATTTGGTATCAATTTCCCTAATTTAAGAATGATGAAATATAATCATATGTTTTCGAGTTTTAATTAAAAAGAAAAACATTTAATCCTCATTTTGTATATGTTTCAGGTAAATTAAGAGAGAAGGAGAAAAAGGCTTAAAAGAAGAAGAAGAAATGAAGAAACAGATAAAAAAGACATGAAATCCTACCACAACTTGTTCAAGCTAGAATAGTATCACCTAAGCGAGATTCGTTCAGAGAGTGATCAATTCGAAAGTAGTTCTAGCTTAAGCGAGAATAATTTAGCTTAAACAAAAACTCGCGCAGTATATATACTTTGTGGTTTAGAATGTGAAAAAAAGAGAGAAAGGGGGGCGCTGATTTTGATAAAATTAGGGAAAGTTCTTCTTCAATTTTAGTTTTAGGGTTGTTCTTCTTCTCTTAGGATGTCAATGGCTACCATGAGTGACTAATCTTTTCTTTTGGGATTAAATGTAATCGATTCGAACTCTGATGAATCTGGTGATATCTATATATAGTTTTTCTGTTTCTATTCAATATTGGCATTTTTATTTTGCTCTTAATGCTTGATTCTATCTGATCAATAGATTCGTGCATGTGATTTTTAGACGTGACTGGAAAGTATTTCTGAAAATCTAAACTAAACAAAAATACTTGATGTATTGTGATGCTAAGAATAGATTTCAGTATATCAATTGCTTTTAACACTTGAAA